ACTCCTCACAGGTTCACCCTTTTATTAATACATTTTGCTATTTGTAATATGGCCGCTTCACCAACTAGACGTTTTACAAACCAGACGTGGGAATGGAACCATGGTCTCGCGTGGACTGTATATGATCATGCATGTGTAACGTTTCACCCTCTCGCAATTGTGCTATCCACCGCTGTTTCCTTTTTGCACATTGATTTTTTTTTTTTTTTTTTTTTTTTTTTTTTCATCCTCTTCGACGAGGGGTTGACTATTGCGACCTTTTCAAGGTATTCCCGCGATGAGTATTTTTTCTTTTTGGTCGATTGAATGGAATGCGTTCCCCATTTTGCTCATTTGGTCACTCACCATTGTTCGCCCGACGTGGTGTGCAAAGAGAAACGTGCAAGTGGTGTAATGGTAGCAGGTGTAATGACTTGGCGCGCGACACCCCCGTTGTGTGATTACAATATGGACGAACGGCCCAGTTGCTCGCGCAAGGTATTCCCCCATTGAAGGGGTGTATGCCCCCTCCTTGTAGCGCTTCGGGCGGTTCATGCGGTTGCCACGTCCCCTCCTGCGCGCGGTTACAAATATATGTAATGTGCGAAAAGCCCCGAATAGGTGTGGTGTCGAGGTATTTTTTTTAAATGAGATCACCACTGCTACTGGCACCGCTTCTCGAGATGGGAAGAGGCCAAGGCAGAAAAAAAAAAATAAATAAATAAATTAATATAGGAATAGCAGCACAGCAACATGCTCCTTCAGTTTTTCCCTCTTCCCCACGAGGCTTGGTAAAAGCGGACTAGCAAACAGCCGTGCCATCGTCCTCATTGCAACGCTCCGGCCACACGATTGAACGAATTAGTCGTAAGGAGGGAATGCCTCAAAATATTGGTCCAAGTCTTGATCAATCCTTTTTTTTTTTTTTTTTTTTTTTTCTCCCCCCAAATGACAGACGCCAAATGGTCGTTACCTCGTTAGTAATTTTGTAAAGTGTTAGTACTAACACGTGCATACGGTGCGTATCGTTTGGGGAATGACTCTTCTTCGTTTGCGCCATTTCCAACGGGGGGACTTTCTACATAAAAATAAAAGGGCTACACAAGTATAGCAGTGAAGAGAGGTTCCTCCACTAAATTCATGTGGCCCTTTTTTCGTAGTCCTATACAAAAGGGCAAAACCGAAATGGACATTTATTCTCTTCTCGTTTCAATGCCCCATTTTGGAAACAATGCAACGGAAGAAAAAAAAAAAAAAAAAAAAAGGAAAGAAAAGGCACCTTGTTTAACACCAGACTGCACACACATGTGTAGTTGTGCAAGTATGCACTTATGTGTGTGTCCACCCCCACGTGCGTAACCCCTTAGGTCCATTTTTAATGACTAAGTTTGTGATTCTCCTCAGCGTGTGTTATATAATTTTCCATTTTTGTGGGGCATTCAAGATACCGCATTGTTGCGAAAGGTTGGTAGTGCGCAGTGGGGAGGCAGGAGAGCCCGTTCGCGCCCCGCAGCGACACTGCATCCACCCCAGAAAAGGCATAGGGACAGAAAGGAGAGGAAGCAATGTACCTCGCTGCTACCACAATACGGTTCGAAGTCATGGGGTGAATAAGCATACTAAGCTGTTTTACAGGAGCAAAAAGGAAAGGGACATCCAGGAGTCAGGGTACATGTTTCCCTTCGATCACTTAGAGAAAAAAAAAACGAAATTTCCTCCGGACCCCTACCAGCCAAGTGAAGAAGAGAGGGAACAGAACGTGGCAGATGTGTTCGAAGAGCAGATGAACGATGATGAGCTCCTCAGCTTTGACGACGACGATGATGCGAAAAGACACTTTGGAGAGACAACCTTCAACGCACCCATCAGTGGGCACAGCGCGGACGGGGAACAACATGACGACGATGAGGATGGTAAGAAGGACAACACGAATGACGGGGATGTGGATGGGGCGGACGAGCTGATCCCGCCCGAACTCGTGGCGGAGGCTGCAAAGGGGAATACCGCTCCAGAAGAACCGCAACCCGAACGAGAGGTGGTAAAGATCAACGTGTATTCCGCAGAAGAGAAGAGAATTGAGGCCGAAATGATGAAAGACCAGCTCTATTACCTGTTTCACTCCTCCATGGACAGCACCTTCATCGAGTTCTTTCGACTGCAAATCGATTCGTCCATCCGTCCAGACGAGAGGAACATTTCAGTAGCGTACACTTGTGGGGAAAGCAATTACCAGGCACCAATATCTTGCGTGGAAGATCTAATAAACTTTTCCCACCATTTGCAAAACTTGTTGACCAGTAGAATAGAAGATGCTCGTAGGGACAAAATTAATGAAGAGATGACCTACTTGAGTAAAAGCATGCGGAAAGAACTCGAGAGGGGAAAAAAACAAAGGAACATCACACACACTTCAAAAAGGAATTTGCAGCTGAGCATCGAGTCGTCGCTAAAGTTGATTGAAAAATGCAAAGAAAAATTGTACAGGCAAAACTATGAGCGTACTTTACACGATTTGAAATTAGCATACAGTATGTTGCCGTGTAAATATTATGGATTTTTTCTTTCTAGCATTTGTGCAAATATATCGATGCTGTCCTACTACACAAATGACATGCAAGGAGCTCTTAACTTTTCTCTAAAGGCAATAAAGTACGAACCTAAGGATGCATTGGCGTGGAAATGTCTCGGAGATGCATACAGAAGCTTCCGCAAATTTTGGCAGGCTCAAAATTTTTACGACATAGCGATATACTTGGGCTATAAAGACGACAAGGGAGAGAACTTCAAAGAAATTGTAGCCGAGTTAAACAAATTGACCGTGGCTGCTTTGAAAAAGGCAGATACGTTAAAAGAAAATATGAACAACTGTACCAACGTGGTCGTGAAAAAAAACATCGGAATTGTGTTGAATAAGAATCCGGATTCGATTGGGGGCTGTTACGTGTCCTACATCATTGAGGGGGGAAAAGCGAGCAAAAAAAATTTCCACCATGGAGACCAAATTGTTGCACTGAACAATATCGTTACGTATGGAAAGCCAATTGACTTTTGCTTAAAAGCTTTCCAAAAGAATGAAGGCTCCTACGACATTGTTTTTTTCAGGGGAAATATTATCGAGCTGTACGGCCTGCGCGCCTACAAATATTTGATCGAACATGGTTTGTTTCACACCCTCTTCGAGAATGAGAAAATTGCGTCCTTCAAGCGAAACGAGACCATTTTGTTTGACTTGCGTGGGTTTGGCACCTTTTCCGAGTACGGCGTATCGCAGGGGGTATCGTAAGTGGCCACGCGAACGAGCTAGCCAAACGTGCCAACCAACGGTTCCGTGTGTGCACAGAAAATTCCCCAAAGGGGAAATGTACCTGAACGGTGCAGGCGACGTTTGTGCGCAACACCAGACACAAAGGCTGCACACAGCCCGTATTTTCTTCCAACCCACGTTACGCTCATTTTTTTTGTGTTTCCACTTAGTCCAAAATTTGTTCCGCGCGGCAACTTCGAAATCGCCTTGCTCGTTCATAAAAAAGTGGAAAAAAATATGAACAAAAAAAAAAAAATAAAATAAAATAAAAAACACACACACCGCGCGGGCCCCCAAACGACTTGACCGTCGCTCGTACACATCAATCACTCCTTGCCCCTCCTCTGCGAGTACAATATTTTATCATACAGATTTACGAACGATTCGTATTTCTCCACGTCGCGCTTTGTCCACTTCTTGGTGGGTTTGCGTATGTCCTGATTTTTGTTCGTACAGTTCGTTTGAAACTTCTCCCTGAGTGTTTGTATATGTATGGGTATTTGGCAGTCACTTAGGAAGGAGCGGAAGTTTTTTTCATAAGACCTCCGCAGGGGGGCTGAAAATAGTTTGTTTTCCTTGTAGAAGAAGAAGGCCAGAAATTTAATGGCACTCAGCTTTACGCTCAGACCTGGGTAGAGGGGTCGATGTTTGCCCAACTCGTACAGCGCCTCACACAGGATGTCATACAAGTATGTCTTGAGATAAACCATCGTAGTGACATCATTTTGGTTTTTCATTTTTTCAAAAATGATTTCGAAAATGTTTTGATTATTTAAGTAGTCCGTATGATTACTTACAAATTTTTCCATTTTTTCTTCATTTTCGAATAGGTAAAGTTTTTGTTGGTACTTTATGCAACATTGCTTATTCCCCTTGACAAAATTGTTTTGGTCTCTCAAGCTGACCAAGCAGAATCCCTCATTTTCTATTTTATCATTTTCTTCCACTTGATCTACTTTTTCGAATGTAGCCAGTGGTTTCTCTATGGCTGTGAACTCCGTGGGATTTTTCTCGAACGCAACCACCTCGTCATGACTACTCACTAAGTAGAAGCAGCCGTCATGGTTCACTGTGTAATGATCGAATATGTTGCATTTTTGTAAAATGTTTTTGTTCTTATAGGTAACTAGGCAGTAGTTATCAAATTTCATTTCCTGTTGGTAATTTTCCCTTTCTTCAAGATTGAACCCTTTGAAGTAGGCGGTCTTGTTATTGTACTTGTATCGTTTATACTTTTGGTAGTTCTTTATTGTATTCTCTATATCGTTCGTCAGTTTGCACTTCATTTTCCACACGTTTGTATGTTCTACGTGTATCACATTGTTATATTTTGGCTTGAAGATGTGCTCGACGTACTTCACAAATGGGTAGTACTGTGGGAATGTCCCAGCAGTGCGTGAGGGGATGTACCTGTCCCTTTTCTTAACATTTTCTCCCACTCTTTGGCATGCTCCATTTTCTGCTTCCGTTGGTGTTATTCGTTGCTGCCTGTCTCCCTTGTGCAGTATAAAAATCAAGTGTGGAATTTTTTTCTCTTTGAGAAAATGCTCCAGTTGGAATTTGTTATATGGAAGGTTGCACAGGATGCATCCATGAGCCAGGACATCATACTGGTTCATCCGAATGCGTATTAGTTCCATAACGTCTGCATCGGTTAAGCGTTTTGTCTTTATAAGTTGTTTAAATTTCCCAATTTGAAAACCAAAGGAGAGTAAATTTTTTGGGTGGATCACTGCACACTTTGTACTTTTCGCCAGTTCATCGTACAAGTCTTCCATATTTGTATCTGAGTACATAATTACGAATGGGAGGACAAAGCAGGGGTCTGGTTTCATCTGTGTCAAGTAACGAATGGGGTTCATACTAAACATGTTTAGTTCCTCTTCCGTTTTGAAGTAAAATAAAAACGAGTTGTATAGGAGGAGGTGCTCCGTGTCTACGTCGACGATGTTATCAATATTGACCGGAGAGTAATAATAAAAATTTGACAGTTTGGCGTAATTATTTTTTTTTAAAAACTGGGCCCATAGTTTGTCTACCCTCTTTAGATTCATCTGATGGAAGAGGCAGTTCCTATGTTGGAGTATACCTCTCAGCTTGGCTTCTATACATGCCTTCACTTTTGTCATGTGAATTTTCCCTGCGTCGATACACCACACATTTGTATTATCCTTCAAATGGTTAATAATTTGCTGATTCTTCTTTGATGTCTTTTTTATTTTGGTGAGTAGCTTTTTTTCTCCTTCTGCAAATAGCTGTTTTGTTTGTCCATTTTTTTCCCCATTGGAATTATCTCCTCTAACTTCTTCCATGTTCTGATCACCCGCCCCTTTTCTGTGCCTTTCCTCTCCTGCGTTGAAGTAACCCGCTTTTTCCCACGAAGCCTTGAGGCCACATTTCAAGTAAATCACATGCTCAGGGATTCTAAAGGAGCATTTCAAAATTTTCTCAAACGAGTTTAATACCTTCTCTGCTAAGAAGATATACTTGCTGTTTAGTAATTCCTTTTCGTTTTTTTTAAAAAAAATTTTTTTAATTTGTTCTACCTTTATGTTTTTCTGGAGGTAGGCATAGGGGTCACCATCTGAGTTGGTATCACTTTGGGATGCCATTTCTTCTGATGGGGTCTCATCAGATGAGTCACCTCCATGGGGGAGGGGTTCCACCTCGTCTGCACGTCCGCCTCTCTCTCCGCCACCCACCTGCACGTCACCTGGCCCATTTCTGTTCCCTGTGGCCGTTTCGTGAGGGGGAGCCCCTTTAGCCAGTTCTGCCTCGCTGCCACGACCTTGACTGACGCTCCTCTCCCTGTGCAGCCTCTCCAGGCAACGCCTCACCTCCTCGCCGGACGACGCTCTGAACAGATCTGCGCTCGCGGGGGAGAACCTAATGATGCACTTGCCCAGCTTCTCATGCAGGACGACGCGCATGGCAACAATTTTGGCCACGTTCAAAACGAGGTTGAGCGGCTTGACTCGAGAAAACAGAACGTCGAGCATTTGCTGTTCTGTCTCCACTGAGTATTCCTCCGAGGTTTTCACACAACTAATGTTGTTCTCTATGTAGTCCACATCTACCTTGTTCAGGTGAATCTCACAATCGTGAAATTTACCTAGCCAGTTAGAACCAAAGACGAAGTGTGCAAGTACGTGGTTCCTCTTCTTCCTGTTCTTCATTCCATCGGTAAGCTTGAAAAGGTAGACATATTTAAGGATGTAAAAACAGGTGGGTGGGAATGTATTAGTAAACTCCTTCTGTATGTCAACACATTGTAAAAAGAATTTGCATGCAATGGTCTCCATTTCTTTTACAAAATGGCACCCCTCATCAGTTAGAAGTAGGACTCTCAAAGGAGGCACGGAGAATTCTCCACAATAGGATTCTTTGCTTTGGCAAAAATGAAAAGCATTATACATGTTGGAGAGGTGGTGCACCTTCCCACCATAGACCAGTTTTACACCTTTGGAGCTTTTATACAGCCAATTATGCTTCGATACAAGATACGGGCAATACACATTAGTGAACGAGCAATCTAGTTTATCTGCTAAGGTGTTATCCCTCAGGACGTCGGTGTAATCATAATAGGAGTGGACATATGGGTTCAGCAGCTTCCTTACTTCATTTACGTAATAATTAATATTCGTCTCGGTGCTCATTTTGAGATAGTGCACTTGGTACTTTGCTTTCCTCAAACGTTCAAACTCTTTTTTGTATTGCTTAGTACAAACATACATGGAGTTCTCTCTCCATGTGATTTCATTTACCTCATCACTGCCCCTCTGGGTTAGCTGTTTCAGAATGTCCTGGTGGATGTTTTCTCTCATTTGTTTCTCTTTTTCTTTCTTCACGTCAAATGCGATAACAATGTCAATCTGGAGTTTCACCTTCTTTAGGTACTCGTAAATTTTGCTATTCAAGGGCAGCCCCGTTATTATGAAGTGTGTGCTTTCAGCGGTTGTCTTGAATGGCGGACCACCTAGGGAAGGTTCCCCCAACTGGTACTCACTTCGACTTTCTAACTCCTGGGCGTACTTTCCATTTTCATCCTCCAGTTGGGTCGAGATGGTACAGATTAGTTGGTCAATCGTCCTGTTTATGCTGCTCAAGGTGGTGCACTTAAATAGGTCACTCACCAAGCAGCTGAATTGGACGCTGGCCTCGGAGGATTTCCCTTGCGCTATGAGCAGGCTGTGGAGGGCCCTGATTTTAACTGCCTTTAGGGAAATTTTCTTCTGGGGGCCATCCTCTGCAATGTCATCTGCAATGTCATCTGCAATATCCTCTGCAGTGTCATCTGCAATACCGTCCTCTGTGGGGTCATCCTCTGCGGGGTCATCATCTGGGGAGTCCTTAACTGAATCATCCTGTTCTTCCCTACAGCTCACCCCATTTGCGTCTGCCCCACCAAATGCGCGTTCGAATTGCTGCCTCAGCTCCTGCAGCGCTTCCTCCACCTGTCGCAGGACGAACACATTGAAGGAGTGTGCCTTGTTCATCCGCATGCACAGGTACCGCACGATGAACAGGGGCGACACGGTTTTGCCCTCCACGAGCCGATTGATCTCAAACATGTAGGTGTCCACGTTTGTGTACGTTTCCCCCTTGGCTTCTTCTTCCTTGTCTGCCCCTTCCTCTGCCCCCTTTTCCGAGTCGCATCTCAGATCCTCCCCGGTGAGGAAGAACCTCCGGAAGTAATCCTCCAGGTCGATGTGCACCACCCGTTCCCTCTGCCCCACAACGCTCATCACTTTTTTCTTTACATCTACACTAGAAAAATAAATGACCATGGTAAAACCTATGTGTTCCTTTATCTTGTTGCTCGAGTAGAATTTGGGGTACATCAAAAATTCTCTCATTTTGGTTTCGCTGTCCAGTAAATATATTTTGTTCTTGTAGGTGGCCATGAATTGTTTCTTTCCCTTAACAAACCTCCTCTCGTTGACGTAGGTCACGGGGCAGTACTTGTAGTAGGCACCCCAGTGTCGGTAGTAGCGCATATGCGTTTGGCCTACGAATGACTTCTTCTCATCAGCGATCGATTTGCCCTGCACTTGTTGAATCGTGTCGCCGCGGACGGAGCTAATTTCAACACCACTCGATTGGGCAGACCCCTTGTCTCTGTCATCCCCTTGATCGGAGGCAGCTTCCGCGACGCCATCAGCTGTTTTTACAAGACTAGATTCACCAACACTATGGCCACCTTCTGGGGAAGCGTCTTCCAATGGGGACTGCCTCCCCAGGATCCTCCTCCTCCTCAGGTTCACCACCAAAACGCCAGACCCCTGCTCCGGACAATACTTGAACGGAAAAAAATTATTTTTAAGATGGTAAGAAAATTGATTTCTTATCATGTTGATGTGGAAAATGTTCCATAGTGTGTCCTCGTTCGGTCTGTTCCATTGTCCCATGCTCTTCTGGCTAACCATATCCATGCGGATGAGTGGGATGCCAAACTTTTCCTCCACCGCGCGGGCCACATCTTCCTCCTTCCGTTGGGCCCATTCGTCTGCTTCACCTGCAGCGTCTACGTCAACTGTAGCGTCTACGTCAACTGTAGCGTCTACTTTGCGTACATCGTCCTGGGGGTGCATTTCTGCGCTCTCCTCCTTGTGCAACTCGTTCACCCGCTCAACCAGCAGGCGAATGTCCCTCTCCAACTTGATGCTGCGCATGCTGCTCTTCAACTCAGCATAGTAACTCCTGTAGTACTTTTCAGGATCGTCGCACCTGTACACGTAACACATTTCTTTACTCATTTGGGTGAAGTAGTTTTCACTTATATTTTCCACGTTTAGGATTCCTCGGGGGGTTCTCTTCGCGTCGGTGTTTTCTTTGCTGGGTTGCCCACGGGGGGAGGTGGCCTTTGCTTCTTCCTCATCCGTGCTTTCCTCCTCGTTACTATTTTCGTCGTTGCTGTCCTCGTCGCTGCTGTCTTCGTCGGTCTCATCCCCCTCTGTGTTATCCTCGTCGATGTCATCCTCCTCCGTGTTATCCCCCTCCGTGGCGCGCCCGTCTAGAGCGTAGTTTTCCTCCGATCCCCCCACGGTGAGGCATTCCTCCTGTGCGCCCACGTCCTCGTCGATCGTTTCAGCTGCATCCGACGCGTTTGCAACAACAGCAACACTCCCCAGCCGTTCCTTCTCTAACACTCGCAGCATCTGCTCGTCTTCCTCATCACGCTGTTCATTTGGAGAGTCCCCGTCTGAAGCCTCCCCTGAGGGATTATCACCTGTTCCCTGCAATTCTGCCTCGTCCTCCTCGCTAGAACCAACAGAAAGGGCGGCTCCGGATGAGTTACTCTTTTTTTCCTTTTTGTGTTTCCCTATGTTGTCGCCCACATGCACATCCTTCCCACCAACATTTATCATCTGGAGGGGTCCCGAACTCCTTTCTCGGAAGATGTTCAGCAGGTGTTCGTATATGATGTCCACGTGGGTTGGTTCGTCGCACCTGCGGTGGGGTGCAAAATGGGGAAACGTGAATGACGCCCACATATAGACGGCGTACGTAAAGCGGCCTAAACGTAGAACGCCCTAAAGCTGAGCCGAGCCAAGTTAGCATACCTTGCGACCCCCTCATGCTCCTGCAGAAGGATACAGAAGCAGGGGAAGGTGTCCTTAAACGGGTTGGCCAGAATCAAATTATGATCCTCCACGAGAAAGTTGGACCCATCAATCCCATCCCCTTGTGTTACATTTTTTTGAAAGTTCAAATTGAGGAAGCTCATATAATTGAGGTAATTCAAAGAGGAGAGTTTCTTCCATTTGTGAAGAAAATACTCAGCGTAATTCAAAAAATTTCCCGTCAAGTACAAAAGGGAGCCATTATTTTTAGCAATGATACTGTTGAGACACTCCAAGGTTAGATCCATGACCTTCTTACAGTCGATGCTCTTTCCCTTTTTTAAATCTTCATTAATTAATTTCCCAAGTGGAGACAGAAATTTATTTTCTAACGTTACATTTCTTCTTAATACTAGAAGCGGCTCGATCAGGTCCACTTTTAATCTTCGGGCAAATCTGTAGACATACTTTTCTCTCCTCCTGGACATGACTAGGAAATTTTCCTTCTTGTTCCTTTTATTTATTTTGATGAAGTTCCTCATTTTGTGGGAATCCTCCACGAGCAGGTACTTCGTCTTCAGGGGGGTAGCCGCGTTAGCCGCGTTAGCGGCCTTGTCCGCGTCGGTCGTGTCAGCCGCTTCAGCCTTGTCAGCGGCGTTACCCATGTGAGGAGGCTTGGCCGTGTCAGGAGCGTTGTCCTCTATCCCAGTTAGTGCTTTCAGTATAGGTGCACCTCCGCTCAAGCCTCCCTCTCCGCGTTGTTCAGGACACGCCTCCCCCTTCATGGCCCGTTCGGTAGCATCTACATTCTCAAAGACTTGTTCAGATGTCTTCACTTTGTCGCTTACTTGACCATGTGTTTCCACTTTTTCGCTCACCTGTCCAGGTCTCTCCACTTCATTTATGACCCCTTCCGTAGCCTCCACTTTCTCAACGACTTGTTCAGGTGTTTCCACTTTCTCAACGATTTCTGCAGGTGTCTCCACTTTTTCGCTCACTTGACCATGTGTTTCCACTTTTTCAATGACCCCTTCTGTAGCCTCGAATTTTTCAATTACTCGTCCTGGTGTTTGCACTTCATTTGTGACCCTTCCCGGTGTGTCCACTTTCGGGATGACCTTCTCATCCGACTGGTCCCTTTTGCTCCTCTCCAGAGACTCAAGTTTCGGTCCGCAGGGGTGACCGCCCATGTCATTTGCTCCAGCGCTCTGTGCATTCTTCTCTAATGAGTCACGCTTCGCTCCGCCAAGGTGACTCTCCAAGTCTTTCTCATCATCAGTGGGGCCCCTTTCCACAACATCTTGATCACGAATCAGCACTGCCTCATCTACGCCAGTATGAGGTGCCCCCTGTGTGAGAGTTTCCTTCCCTTCGTCTTCCTGCCACTTGTCTTCCTGCCACTTGTCTTCCTGCCACTTGTCTTCTTGCCCCTTGTGTTCTTTCCGCTCCGATGTGGAGGCGCCGCCCCCTGTTCGTATCTCCTCTCCAGTGTGTCCACTTCCCTCCATGTCTTCATCATCAAACAGAATACTTTTCACAACGTCTTGGTTACGGATTATGTCCTTCACAAGCTCATGTTCCATTTCTTCACCCACCAACTGCGATTCGTCATTTGAGTATCCCTTTGTTAATAGCCCTTCTTGTAGACTCTTCCTCAAAACCGCTACCTCACTTTGTATTATGACTTCATTTAATATTTTCCCCATTTCACTAAAGGTCGTGTTGGTATCGAATGCGGAGGAGGTCCCATTTTTATCATGTTGGTTCCTTTCATACATGTCCTTTTTAATACTAAGACTGCTCAGCAATTCTTCATTCGGCTTCGAGCTGTTGATTTCGCCGTGGCTATCTGTACTGCCCATTACATTCACCTGGGAGTCTGCATCTCCGGGATGGTCTTGCCAACCTGCTTCGCTTTCCTCGAACTCTTCAGCAAGATCAGCATGATAAATATTCTCATCGGTTACGTCATCTCCTCCTTTCCCTGCTGCCAGGTCCCCCTTGCAATCGCTCCTCCTCTTCATTTTTTTCATGAACAAATCAACATTTCCTTTGTAGGAATCCATTTTATTTTCCATGTCTTTGTTCACTGTTGAGAGGAGGTCCCTCTGCTGGTTCAGTTGCGCGTACCCCTCCTTCGTTTCCTCCTCCCCATGCTCAGTTATATCCGCCCTGTTCGAAGCGTCCTGCGCATGTTCAGTTATACCCACCCTGTTGGAAGCGTCCTGCGCATGTTCAGTTATACCCACCCTGTTGGAAGCGTCCCCCTCCTTCGGCCTCACCTCCTTATCCAATTTGTCATCGAACGAAATGTCCTTTATGTTGAAGGTGGATTCGTTTGACCCATCACCAGGGAGGATCTTCTTTGCCTTAGCTGCATCTTCCATGTCACTCACAGTGGATTGTGTGTCCAGGTTAGTCCTACTTTCGTCGAGCAGTTCCCCCATGCATGTGTCGTTTTTTTTCCCCTTTTTATATTTGTCCTTCTCCTGCTTTAGCTCCTCCAAAGTGCGTTTTTCATTCTCTAAGAAGTTTTTAGCCTTAAGCAGATCGACTGACTTTTTGGGTCTACCTTCTGTCTCCTCGTTTGGCGTTCCCGTTTTTTTTTCTGCTCCTCCTATTGTTAAATTGCTTCTCAGTGCATCCAAGTATTCTTCATCGGACCCATGCGTGTAGTCTTTATCTTCTTCCTTTTCTACACTTTTGTTTGCACTAGGACTTCCTCCTGCTTCTGCTCCATTGTGTGCCAGCGATTTTTCAGACTCGTCTTTGTGTTGATTCACAAGCGACGCTTCTTCCCCCGCAGTGGCGTCTCCTTTCCCTTTTTGAGTTGTCACTTCATCATCGATGGGGACAGCGGCCTTTGTTCCTTCCCCTACCGACGCGCCTACATGTTCTTCAACTACGCCGGCTTCTCCTTCTCCTTGAGCGGCTCCCCCCTCAGCTTCCTTCTCAGCCCTGCCTTGTGGGGAGCTTTGCGTGGGGTCGTCCCGCCCTATATTATCCGTTGAGTTTGCCTCCATGTCGCTTTTAGCTTCACCTTTCTCTGGTCCTTTCGCTTCCACTTTCTCTTGTCCGTTCTGTTCCCCTTTATTTTGTGCGTTTTCTGCCCCCTCTTGGCCCAGCTGGGGGAACTTCCCCCGGACCTCCTTCCTAAGCGTCTCCTCACCAAAATCCAGGTTCGAGTCCAGGCGGAGGAAGTGTCTTTGCTGCGTCGGGAGCAGGTCCCCACCCAAAGGGTTCCTCTCCTCTGCATCTGTGTCCTTCGCATCAACAGCGCCACCCCCCTGGTGGTCATTGAGGTCCACAATTTTGCACTCCTTGGTGAACTCAGCAAAGTTTATTCCGTCAATGAGCAGGGAGCCTTCGAACATTATTTTTTCCTTCCCTTCATGAGGGCCCCCTTCGTCCGTTTTATCCATGTTAGCGGCTTGGGCGTGTCCATCGTGTCCATCCTTTTCGTCGTCTTCACCTTTTGTTGACCTTTTAGTCCTCTCTTGAATTTCCTCCAGTACGTACATTCGGTCTGCAATGGATCCCTCTGTCTTCCTCCTTCCTTTGTCGTCCTCTTCCTCCCCCACCTTGTCCTCCACGCCTTTCTCATTATGTTTGTCCTTTCTCACCTCGAAGGCGAAAGTGTTCCTTTTTGCGACGCTGGCCTGGACGCCTGAGGGGGACTTCTCTACCACCTGTCCGTATATATGTCCCCCCCCGTCCGTTGGATCATCTTTCGTTTGTTTGGTCTCTTCTTCTTTGTTCCTTCCTTTGTCTGCGCGCGTGTGTGTGTGTGTGTGTGGTGTGTGTGAGTGAGAAGAGGTAGGTGCACTGTTGCGGTGTCCCACAGATGAGAGCGGGGGGTCGATGTTAATCGTCACTTATCACCCCACTCCATTTGTGCGTGTTGACCTACCGGTGCAAGATAGCCCGTCATGCCGCCTGGGGGAGTAAGAACGATCACACGGGTGCCCCTCAGGGGAATACTCTTCCTCCTGGGAGTCTGCCCCCTCAAGGTACTCGAGCGGGTTTATCTCGTCCACATCAAGCAACACAATATGTCTTTGTAAATACGAATCATCATTAGTCCTATTGTTGAGCAGATTCTCAAATAAATTTTTATCCAACATGTCTTGCGCGTCGGGATCATTATCGTACAGGAAGGACTCCTCAACTTTATAACTGTCGCTAAATCGTTTTGTGAATTGTTTTTTTAATTGTTCCATTTGGGTTGACAATTTTTTAATGGATTTCATATTTTTAATGAAACTACTACTACATCTATCATGACCATTCTCTTCATTTTTATAACCCAAAATTGTATTTTCAAAAAGAGATACCTTTTTCATATCTTCTTTTCGTTTAAAATTTATCATCATGACAGGTTTTTTTTTTACCACTTGTCCATTTTTCATTTTAATTTCGATGAAGGTAATTCTATAAAATAGGGTCTTCAAAAAATGAGCATAATCTAGTGCATTTATTGTGGGTGTCCATATATCAGTGAGTTCAAAAAAGGCATTAAAAAAAGATTCAAAGTTGAGGTATTTCTTCCCTTTACAATCATTGTTCCATTCGTCACTTACTATGTTTATGACCTCCTTAATATCAAAATGAGGTATTAGTACTTTACAGATCCTAAGCATTATTTTGAAGTATTCCACTTTAGTGAATTTACCATCCATGGGTTTGTTCAACACATTGGTCCATATGTTTTTTACGCACTGTACGAATTGTGGGTCGTTTTTTATTTGTTCCCTTTCTCTTTTCAGTTCTTCATTTTCAAATTTTATGTCCCCTTGGTTTAGGTACTGTCTCAGGTTGTGTGTGCCCCCGTCCGCGGGGAACAGCTCGGAGAAATTCTCCGCCATGCTACCGTTAAGCTGCACAGCGGTGAAGGGAGGGAGAGACGACCAGAGTGGTCGAAGCTCTGCTCTACCTTATGCACGCATTACTCAACCACCCCCGCGTGTTTTGTGTGGTTAGCTTCTACCGCGAAGACTCTACAACAAGAAGTGCACCATTCACGCGCTTTTATTTTTTTCCTGTGTTCATTGTGATGATGAACTCTCCGTGGAAAACAAAAAGGGCAGGAAGCGCTGATAAGAACGGACGTCACTTCGCTTCGCAAGGAAACTCTAACGTGTGCCCATACCTATGTACATATAAAAATAATTTATGTGATAAATTGTTTTTCTTTCCCGCTTGGAGGGGTCTGGGATGCCCCACAAAGGCTTTTAGACAGACGCTTTTTTGAGGCCATATAATTTTTGTTTTTTTTCATTTGCCCCTTTTTGCCCTCATCGTAAGGCATCGTACGTTTGGCACTTGTCCTTTAGAATGTGTATGCCTTTTTTAATTTTTTTTTTTTTTTTTTGTCCCGTTTTGGAGGATTCAAGGAGTCATTGAGGAAAACCACACCATTAGAGATATCAAAAAGGGAAAAAAAAATTAGGAAATAAGAACCGACACTTACAGCTTTTTTTTTTTTTTTTTTTTTTTTTTCGCTGTCCACACGCGTATACATTGCAGAGGCGAAGGCCCCCCCCCCCCCCTTTGCGCTCGCTGCTCCGATGCTTCTGAGCAAAGGAGACCTTGCAGCAGCGAGCTCTTCTACACATCAGGAGTATTCCCCCGCCGTGTCCCATGACTCCCCTTAACACGTCACTTCCTATATTTGACTTTGTAAAAGTAGCTACACCGATGGGATATTTTTATTTTTATTTTCCATACCTATAGTATTATGTGTATTATGTGCTACTTCCAGTGAACAGCCTTTATATTACATGGGGCCTGGGGATGAATCATTGCAGGGTCACCCCTTTGGACAATTCCTCTCTTGTGTTTTTTTCCCTAACACACAAAAGATCCACCCTTTCCCCTAGGTGCGACCCAGCGACGCAGCGACGCGGCAACGCAGAACCGCTTCCGCGAAGGGGGCAATCGCACGTTGCCCATCGCCTTACACAAAAGTATGCAATCGTATCAGAGTGCCTTCGTACCAGCGTGTCGTCGTGCCATCGTGCTGAGCTTTGCCTCCTCTTGCAGATGCAAACGCCTGCGCGCACCATACGCGACAGCATCGGAATAGGAAGCGTGATTGGCACTATTTTGTTTAGGGTTTAGATTTCCCTCCGTTTGGCATTTTCTTTTTTTTTTTTTTTTTTTTTTTTTTT